CACCAAAATGCATTTCTTTAGGTGATGGGATTAGAGGTAATTCTGTATTTTCTTCTTTAAACTTTTTGGTATTTTCTAAAAGAAAATAGGTATCAATTACTTTTATAATCCAACAAGAAAGGATACTTTCCTATTAGCTAGGACTTCTGAGATAGTGGTCACAGATTTTATGCATTGTCCCGAAGGAAACCAAATCAGACTTCTATTTCTACCTAAAGTGACTTGTGTGTGGACCCTTCTTCCCATCCGAATTTTCTATACAGGATACAGATTTTGGCTTCGACAAGACAGTTCAGCTTGTAATCACTAGTTTCTTTCTTTTGTGAAACTTGACATTTGGCAATAGCCCTATTAGAACCTTGAAGCAAAGTGCTGTGTTTCTTTCTCCTGGTTACCAGAGCTGAGTGCTCCCAAAAGGATTTACAAAGTGCAGGGCTTTGGAGCCCACCCGAAACTGGGCTCGAGGGAGATACGCCCAGAGGGTGCCGACTTGGTGCATCAAAGTATTATGACAAGAACATTGCCTTTGCAGAAGAATGGCTCTGGAACCTTGGGCTTTTTCTCTGCAAAACTGATGATCATCTTTCTTTTATATAGATTATAAAGATTTAAAAAGACAATGTATTAATATGTAGGACGCCTAACAGTGCACACAGTTAACTAATAATATTAATAAGTGGTGGGCACTGGAGAAGGCAGCAGAGGGGAAAATCTGCTATTGCTGTTTTCCATTCTTTCCCCACTGAAGTTTTCCAAAGTGTGCGTAGGGTGGGGACGGAAGTGCAGGAGATGTCTAGATCTCAGCCCCGCCCTGACTGGGCCAGCCTGGCCAAGGACACATCTTCAGTTTCACCATGGAAATGTAACCACTTCTGTGGTGGAGGAGGGCAGGCAGTGCTAGCCACTGGACGGCAGCCAAAAGCGTGGGGTGAGGGGCAGCCCTAGAATGTCCATGGATAATTCTGAATATAAGACTCCATTACCACTCCAAGATCCTGTATTAGCGATCCAGAGTGACTCTTCCTCCACCCCTGGCTGCGCTGCCCTTTAACTATTCATCGGGCAGCAGCCAGCACGCTAGACATTTACGGGAAATAAAGGGAATCAAGCTGTGTCTCCTAATGGATTGAAATACTCCATTTTTGCCGTACTGCTACTTCATCTGCTGCCATGACGACTAGTACTGCTATCAGCCCCACCATTTCTACAACTGCAGCTACTACTACTATCACTATTAATCCTTTAAGTTTGTAAACTACTTTACAATTTACAAAGTGCTTCCCTGGCCTGGGTTTTGCCCTATTAAAGATGAGACTGGACATGGCATCATGGGAGGGCAGAGGTGTGCTGGCACCAGAAACCTCAAAGGGAGCAGAGGCGATCTGCACTCAGGAACAGAGCAGAATTATCAGTATTTATTTTCAACCCCCCTGCCTGGGCCCCACATCCACCATCCCCAGCCACACCCAGTCGCACTTCCAACCTGACCCTGCTCTAACCGTCCATAGCTATAGCTAGTTTAGGCAACTTCGAGGGTTAGGGACTAGGAGAAATGGCCTTTTATTTGGCCAGAGAAGGCCGACCATGCCAAAATCTCACCAAGTGGGACAGGAGAAGAGGAGAGAATGCTTTTCAAATATAAGGCCATTACCTCTCCCACCTTTTCATGGGAAGGCCCTGAGAAGGGCCAGACTCTTCCTATTTTAGACTTTAAATTTTCCTGCGCTTTAGTTCAATTTTTAAAAAAATGCCTGATTTTGATCCTCCTCCAGAAGTGAACTCTGGAATGTACAGCTTTCTCTCCCAATAGAAGGGCCCCCTTTTCCCTCACCCCTAGCAGCCCTGGCGAGAGGACTGATGCTAGACTGGGTGAGCGTGGAGCAAGAAGACAGCACAGCTCAAGCGCAACCACCAGCCAGGTTCCCTTTGAGATTGCCGACTTCACCTGGCAACCAGGAGCCCCAGCAGAGCTCAGAGAGAAGAAAGTGGCATTTTGGAATCCATTTTGCTCAAGATGCTGAAGGCATGGTGGCAAACTCTTTTTTGCTACTGAGGCCAAAGCACTTGGGGAAGGACCTTACCCACAGGCATGAGGTTAGGTGGGGGGAAGGTGAGAGCCAACTCTCATGCCAGCGATACCTTGAGGAGAGCAGACAGGTGCGAGGCCGCCCTTGGGACCCACCCGCAGGCTAGTGGTGGGTGCCGGGGCCCACCCTGGGCGCTGCCTCCGCATTTTGGACCCAGGTCCACTGGTGAGCAATAGCAGAAGCAGCCACCGCCAGGCCAGTTGGGTCTCCTTCTGTCTGTCCAGTCATTTATAGGTGAGATTTTACGATGTATGCCTGGGAAGGGACACGAGGTGACTACGGCCTTTGGGAGGCATAATCCTGAAAGTCACACTTTTTCCAAAGCGCCTCCCTCCGGGGTTCTCCTCCCCGGAGCAGCACAGTCACAGCAGGGGAGTGAGCGCCGCGGACGCGCCGCAGGGGTCGGCCGGGACGCGGAGGGACCGTGCGGTGGAATGGGGACCCGCGCCGGGCGGCGGGCGGCAGGGCAGGGGGAGGAGGGGCCAGGGGCGCGGCGCGGCTCACCTGCCAGGCTGTTGTAGCAGTCGATCTCGATGGCTTCCACTGTCTTGCTCTGCTCCTCCGAGAGGCGGCCGGGCTTGGGGGCCCCGGCCGGGGAGGCCGAGCGCGAGTCCCGCTCCCGTTCCCCGGGGGGCGGCAGCAGCCCCTTCAGCTCCAGCAACGCCCGGTGGTATTTGCCGATGGCTTCGCGGAATTTCTTGTCCTTGTAGCACTGCGCCCCTTGGCTTTTGAACTCGTGCGCGCGCCGGATGAGCTCGGCCGGCTCGGCCGCCGCCCCAGCCTGGCCCCGCGCGGGGGCCCCTCCGCCGCTGCCCGGGACGCACAGAGGCGGCGGTGGCCGCTGCCCCTCGCCGGCCGCGGGCGGGCTCGGGTTCCCCTTGGCCCCTGCCGCCGAGCCCTTCCTCTCCATTCGGCAGCCGCCCAGGCGCCCCGCGCGCCGCGATCCCAGCCGCCGCCGCGCCCTCCTGGGTTTAAAAGCGGCGGGCGCCGGCCCCGCGCCTCGCAGGCTTCGCCGCGGCCGTGACACCCCGCGGCGGTCTGGCGCCCCGCACTCCCATTCTCCTCGCCAGCCGCCGGAGGCTGCTCTCTCCTCCTGGTCGCCGTCCTCCTCCTCCTCCTCGGATTGCCTCCCCCTCCTTGCTCCCTCCCCCACTCCCGCGCCGCCCGCGCTCCTCCCCGCCCTCCTCCCCTCCCGCAACCTGCCGGCGGCGGCGACCCGGTCCTGGCGCGCTCCGGGGCTATGGGTATGGGGGGACGGCGGACCTGATTGGGGTGGCGGTGATTGTCGCTGACCCGGAAGAGGCTTGGCTCGCCAGAAGGAGGGGAAGATTAATGACAAAGACAGCCCCGCTCTTTCCCATTCAATCTAGCCCTCGGGACGCACCTATCTGAAAGAGACGAACGGGGGAAGTCGTGTGTGTGTGTGTGTGTGTGTGTGTGTGTGTGTGTGTGTGTGTGTGTTTAGGCAGGGGGAGCGGCAGCGACGACACACATGCAGACTCACCCTCAAGAGATTTCTTAAAAACTAAAAAGAAAAGATGCGGCGGGGAGCAAGGGACGTAGGAACAAGCCATAGCTTCTTGTTCTTTGCAGTAAGGCATTGATATTTTTAAGGGGTCAGGGCCTCCTTTTTGTGGATCCAGGTTGTCGCCGAGGTGTGTCTCCGCGTGTGTGGCCGCTGGGGCGTCCAGAACACGGTGTGCACTTCAGCGTGTGGGGCGTTGTGTCCCAGGAGCCGATGTGTGCTGACGCTGTGTGTGTGCGCAGCTGTGCAGAATGGATCACAGACATCAGAGATGGAAAACACCTGTTACCGTGGGTCATCGTGCTTGGCGTGCACACGGTCTAGTTTCCATTTACAGGACAGTTCCGTGCCCTTGCTCCGAGGCTCCATTCCTTCCCTCATTCTTTCAGTCAACCCTGAGTGTCAGCTGTTTGTTGGGGATTTGCTAAAGGCAAGAGGCAGAGGAAGATAGGGAAATCACTCCCCGGACCTCAAGAAACTCCCAGTCTACAGGGGGACATACACCGTCCACCGGTAGAGTCACTGGACCAGGTGGAGATTGGTAGGTCTTACTGGGGAGGAATAGAAGGTGCTGTGGAGCCCCTGGGAGGGGAGGGACGGGTGGCTTTTTGAGTACAGGTGGATCAGGAGAGTTTATGGAGGAAATAACATTTGAGGGCCTTGAAGGATGAGGAGGGTTTTGGGCTTAAGGAAATACAAGGAAGTGATAGCCAGAGTGAGGAAATGGAGCAGAAGTCCTGATGTTTGAAATCTCAAGTGTGTTTAGGACATGGCGGTTTGATTTTGTGGCCTAAAGAGAAATAGTGAGAAATGATTGGGTTGGATTATGGTGGCTTTTGGATGAAGATGTTGGATTTGATTTTGTAGGCAATGGAGAAGGCTGACATATTTTTTAATGCTCTCCCCTCCTTCACAATGCTAAGAAAAAATTATAATCTAAAAAGCACTGGTTGTCAAAGCGTGGTTCCCAGACCTACAGTGTCAGCATCACCTGGGAAAATGTTAGAAATGCAAATTTTAGGGTCCTGCTCTAGAGCTACTAAATCAGAAACTCTAGGGGTTGGGTCCAGCAATGGACTCATTCAGATGCACTGCTCTAAAGCCTTGCCACTCAAAGTGCAGGCCTTGGGCCAGTAGCATCAGCATCACCCAGGAGCCTGTTAGAAATGCAGAATCTGCAAAATCCTAGACCTACTGACCCAGAAGCTGCATTTCAACAAGATTACCAGGAGATTCATATGCCTATTAAAGTAGTGTGAAGCACCGCTCTAGAGATTTTGGAAAATAAGGAAAAGTATAAAGAAGAAACCCCCAGCCTACACCCAGTTATATTTTTTAATTAATATTTTGATATAATTCCTACCAGTTGTTTTCTAGGCATCTATATTTGTACAAAATGCTCTTTTAACAAATATAAGTGATATGGGACAATATGCATAATTGTTTTTCTGCTTTTTTTACTTTATATTTGATTAAAAAATTCTTTTACAGCCTAATTTTAAGGGCTGTATAATATTCCACTGTATGTGTACCGTAGTGTGTGTAACCATTTTTTGACAGACAGATTTTACTTTTATAAATAACATGGAAATAATAAAAAAAAAATAGGTACCACTTATATTGTGCCAAGCATCAGGTTAAGCACTTTACATATAACAATTCATTTGATCCTCATAACAGCCCGGTGACATAAGTGTTATTATCATCCATGTTTTAGACCAAGTCACAGAGACTTGCCTGAAATCGCACTGCTAGTAAGTAGTGGAGCTGGGATTTAAATCCAAACAATCTGGCTCCGGAATCTATGTTCTTAACTATCTTTATACTTGAGTTTTTGTCCTAGTTTACTTTTTCCTTACAAGTAATTATTATGTCAATTTTTAAGAAAGTCTTGAAACACATTGTCAACTTGCTTTTTAGAAAGATCGTGCTAACTTGGGCTCCCACCAGCAATGTACTAGTTTCACAGCATCCTTGCCAACATCAAAGGTGAACTTTAAAAAAATGTTTTCTCATTTAATAAATGCAAAATGTGGCCGGGCATGGTGGCTCACTCCTGTAATCCTAGCACTATGGGAGGCTGAAGTGGGAGGATCGCTCGAGGTCAAGAGTTCCAGACCAGCCTGAGCAAGAGCGAGACCCTGTCTCTACTAAAAATAGAAAAAATTAGCCGGGCATGGTGGCTCGCACCTGTAGTCCCAGCTACTCATGAGACTGAGGCAGGAGGACCGCTTGAGCCCAGGAGTTTGAGGTTGCTGACGCCACAGCACTCTACCCAGGTGACAGAGCAAGACTCTGTCTCAAAAAAAAAAAAAAATATGTTGAATTAACTGAGATATCTTTAATTATAGGAGTGAATATTTTTCACATGCAGAGTTGACATATATGGAGAACTGAGGGCTTTTAGTTGGATACAATTTTAATGTACTAAATTATACTTTACGTTTTATAGTTCCTTACTTTTCTAAGTGCTTTAACATCTTTAATACCATTTGATCCTCATATTAGCCCCAGAAAGGGTAAATGATCCTCTACTCAGACAGTGAGTTTGCAGTGGTTTTTCATAAGTGAGACATCATATCAGTTCAGTGGTTAGGAGGCTTTGGACTCAGACAGGTGTGGGCTGGAATTCTATCTTTGCTACTTCCTGGGCAAGTTACTCAACTTCTGAAAACCTCAAATTTCCTAACTCATTAAATAGGAATACTACTTACCTCATAGGGTTGTGGTGGAGCACACTGTAAGTACTCGACAGATGGTAACTTTAATTATTGCTCGTTAAATCCTGTCATTATTGGATCCCATAATAATGTTGTGTGGCAGAACTCCAGTTAAGCCATAAATATTTGCCAACCCCTGGCCCTTTTTACTTTAAAGTATTGCATCAAGTAAAGCAAAGAGAAGAAATTGGGGGTTGGGATGTTCTCTATTTTCGTTGTTCCCGGTGATTAACGTCACTTAGGTAGGAAGAGATCCAGCAGGCAAATATTGGACGAAGATCTAGGCTTGGGATTTGGCTACTGTCAGAAATAAGACATGAATTGGGTCACGATGGTCACAACCATTTAAAGGTGAGAAGTACTGATGTGCCAAATTGCTTTTTGTTCTCCCACTGTGTCCTGGCTTAACAGTACAGTATCTCATTCTCAGATTTTGGGTTTGAGGACAGGGCTGCAAGAGACATGTGACCCATGTAGTACTACCCTGTGTATGAAGCAGAACTCGACACAAGAGCTTAGTTCTAGCTTGGATGAAGGAGAGCATGAATGAGAAAGGATGGGAATACTCTGGGCGGGGGAATGGAATGAGAGGAGATTTACGATGCCCATCTGTCCCACTCTGCAGAGTTGCGTGTGCATGTCTAGGATTGTTTTGTTTGCTTGTTTTTAGTATGCTTCTGTCTCTGTCTAAGCTACTCATTGGTACATGTGTTCTGGCTTTTCAGAAATGATCTCCTCCTTTCAAATGGAATTAAATAGATGTCAATGAGAATTTCTAAAACATTCCTTCATTAACTCTTGACCATATGTAGAGCACTATTTTAGGAAGTAAGCAAAGATCCAACTGAAGGAAAATTGAGCATGAATTTAGGAGTCAAAAACTCAGTGCTTCTCAAACTTTAATGTGTGTATGAATCGCCTGAAGATTTACAATGCAGATCTCTGAGTCTGTTAATCTAGGGCAGGGCCCAAGATTGTTCATTTCTAACAAGCTGTCGGGTGGTGCTGATACTGCTGGTCCATGGCCCACATATTGGGAGCAAGTGTTTAGAGGAAAGGTAAGTTTCATATGTCCCCTTCTCTCCTAGTTTTCACCTAGGTGAAGTTGTTCAGTAAATTGATCAGATTCCAGGAAATCAACTGGTCTACATTTAACAGGAGCAGAATTATGAACCTTCATTCAGCTTTCTCTTCTACCTCATGTAGGAGAAATAGGTAAGCTGAGTTAGGGCTTTCTATTGGGATCTGGCCATCTTGTTTTCTCTTCCTCAAATGTATTGCCAAGGATAATTTTTTTTTGGCTTGCATCTCTCGTCGAATGTGTCAGGACAGCGGGTGAGAAGATTTTGGTGTATCATGGAGATGGAAAGGCCCTTGAAGGTCTTTGGTGTAGACTGCTTGTTCCAACTTTGTTTTTTTTTTTCTTTTGATTTCAGAATATTATGGGGGTATAAATGCTTTGGTTACATATATTGCCTTTGTACCACCCAAGTTGGAGCTACAAGCGTGCCCAACCCCCAGGCATCATGCACCGTACCCATTAGGTGTGAATTTACCCATCCTCTCTTCCCTTCCAACTTTGTTTTTAAAAGAGAGTCCTGCACTAAGAAATTGGGCATTTATTCAGGTGAATATAAAGTGTTATTTGGATTTCTCATCTGCCATATGGATTTCTCACGAACTTCACAAAGGAGAAAGATGATTGGGCCGCAACAGGTTTCTAGTACTCCTGGCCCAATGTCGTCAAAACCTCTCCTTTCTTTCCCAACAGGACAGCCCTGAGCACATGCCAGTGAATCTCAGGGACGATCATACCACTGATGGAATAACTCATTAC